CTTCGAGACAACTGTGATAAGTCAACAGCACAAGTGGATAAAAGCAATTGATCGACAATCAACGCGCACACACACACACACACACACACACGTGTGCTCGGTTTGAAATGACACCTCACAAACATCAACGGCTTTTGAAAAAAAAAAAAAATCAATGAAGACTCCTCCTCCAGACGCATCTCATTAATATCTTGGCGTGCATGGAGCAGCTCCTCGGCGTAAATCAGCAACTTTATTGTCAGTAGTTAACGGAGACAAGGCAAAAGTTGATGGAGCAGTGGAGAAACTCATAACGCAAGCAGCTTTGGTGAAGACGCTTGTTGAAAAGATACCACTTTTACAGCACAGCGCCTGTGTGTGTGTGTGTGTGTGTGTCAGTGTGTGTGTGAGAGAGAGAGAGAGAGCTTTTCATCCACTCCAGTTACTAATCACAGTCTCATTCTCTCTCACCCTGCATAATTCTCCCCCTCGCCTTTATAAATCTTTCTTCCCGCTCCACCTCTTCCTCTCGTTCTGAGGGCAGAGACAGCAGATGTGTTGGCAGGTTAAATGACCTCTGTGATGTATGACTTAACAAACCCCACGCATCCATCAACACTCAGCTGTGCGTGCGTGTGTGTGTGTGTGTGCGGAACAAAACGAAAGGGGGAAAAGAGCTGCTACTCATAAAGTGCAATTTCAATTCACCTTCAGCCCAAAACTTGAGCCCAACAAACACTCACCCCTCCTCTTCCTCCTCCTCCTCCTCTTCTTCTTCTTCTCTCATTTCATGAATGGGTGTGTCTGCTAGTGTATGTAGATGTGCCGTATACATGAATGTGAATGAAGCGGTTCAGCAGTGTAATTACATTGGCCTGGATTCCCTCAGTCTGCTGCATATGGCTGATGAGAGATGCCCTCTCTGACCCCTGCATGTTTGCGTGTTAGGGAGAGACAGACAGTCAAATGAGGGTAAACCTTTATAGGTTTTATAGGGGCGATTGTGAAAACGGCTGCAAAATGTGTATCTGTAGCAACAAGTTTCAGATGTTTGTTTTCACGTAATTATATTTTTATCATGTCTTGCCAAACCAATTAACCTTATTTGACAGATTAAGAGCATAAACCAAACAATGGGGTGGAAATATGTAGAGGGCTTCAGTACCTATTGATCCTTTATAGGAAATTCCAAAGAAACTGGATCTTGCAAATCGCTTACGATTTCATCACAGCAACCCGAACAAATTTCCCGACTCTGCTGCCACAGTCGTCCATCAGCCCCGTGCTGACAGACGGCGGACGTGCCCTCTCAGTGCAGTAATTACAGGAAGCCAAGGAAGAGCTGCTCCAGGCACATCCTGGCACGAAGCTCACCTGGATGACTTTTTTCCTCCCCCTTTACTGTAAAACAAGTTGAATTTGTTTTAGTGGGGCAACTTTTAAAGGAATCAAAAGACGTCTTTTGGTTTCTTTCCTCCTTTATGACCGTAAACTGAACATCTTTGGACAAAACAAGTAAAATAACTGTTAGTTGTAGAAAGAACCTCCATCCAACTAAACTCCCTTTGAGAAAGTTTCATTTTAAATCCAGCCAGAGAAAGTTCATGAATGAATCCTGATTTTCAACTCAGCTTTGGTCGCCTCCAGCAGATTTTAGAAGTAAGTCAAATTAGTGCCATCCTCTCACCAAGCAGCTAAACACGGTTGTCACAAATGCACCACAGAACTATAGAGAACTTACATGCTTTTGTTTTTTTCCTTTCATTTACACAAATTGATTGGCTAACCCCCTGGTTTGCGATGAATATTTTTGTGTCATGTTTAGCAGCTTGTCTTTTGACTCTGCGATTCTCCTGCTAATTGTCCCAGCAGGGCAGCCTCTAGATCCCTGTGACTACACTCCACCCACAAAGAGAGGAGATGGGGGTAAAGCAGCGAGCAGAAATAAAATACTTCACACACCCCTCTCCCCGAGAAGTGCCAGATCTTTATTTCACTCCTTTCTCTCTGCTTTTTTTCTGTCTCAGTGCCCACAAAGTGATTGGAAAGCACACGACAATCTGTTTTTGTTGACGTTCGATGGCGCGTGATAATGTGGTCATTATCGCCGCCAAAGGAACAGGTTGAGGCTCGGACAGGGTTTCATTGGGGGCCTTTAACGCGCACACATACACCAACACACACACACCCTCAGTGTGGGAAAAGAATGCTTCTCAAAGAGGGGACAGCTGTTTGGGTGGCTTGGAGAGGATGGCGATCAGGTTAAAGGGAAGATGGCCTACTGTAAACTCCACCTGTGCATATGGCCTTGCCTGAGGCTGTGAGGAGGAGGGGGGTGGGAGTAGAAGCCAGCGTGGGACCCTCTCATTTTGTCCGGTCCGCTGAGAGGTGCGCATTAGTGTGCGGGGATTCCTAAAATAATCATGAGGATTATTGAAAACATTTTTAAAATCCTCAAACTCAAATTAACAGCTAATCACTATAGTAGACCGTTAAGCTATTTCTAATTGTGCTGGAGACTAATGGTGCCCTGTGAAGGAACCAGAGAGCTTCTCTGAGCCTGTGGGAACATTATTGCACCATCAAATCCTCATTATTATATGAAACTAAACCAAATTATGTTGCGAATTAAAATATAGTCTGTCGAGCAAAATATATGTGCAAAAAAAATGCTGGTCAAAGGTAATAAGTGTGTTTTAGCCACTAAAATGAGTTATGTTCTTTCCCAGGGTTTAGTCATTTTGAAAAAGTCTACTTAAACATGTTAAATATGTAAAGTGTAAACTTTGTGATGGAGTGAATTGTTTGTCTTTGATTATGCACACTATCAATCACATGATGTAAATGGAGGGTTGGTGTGTGTGAGTCGGGTCTGAGCGGACGAGGAATGTGATTAACTCTTCTGTCTATGTGTGTCCAGCCGACTTGATTGAGGCCGGTCACAGAACAAGAGAGATGAAGAAAGGGCAGGGAAGCAGTTAATACCAAACAAATGAAGGAAATGGATTAAATCCTGCTGTTTTATTAAATTTGAAATTCAAATGAAATGCTCCCTCCGTGCTTTTGCTCATAAATTAAGAGCCTGAAGATCATTCTGGGTTATTTCCAGGCTGTGCGTCATCATATTGGTTAAGCATCCCTGATTTAAGAATAGGATTAACCCATTCAAGTGATGGAAGTTCTTTCCTCGCAGTCTGAGACTGAGCTTGGCCATATGTTTAAATGATTTATAAAATTGAACAAAGCACAGGAGGGTTTTTTTTTTTTTAAGGCCATTTGTTTTGTGTTGAATGAGATGAAATTGCGGAGGCAGTGGAGGTGTCCTCCCTTCCCTCCCCCAGGGCTGACTGGAAACGCCCCGGGGACAGGATGGGACGGGACTGACCTGCCTCTCATTCATCAGCCTCTCCCCCTGCATTGCCTCACAACATCAGTAAAAACATCAGGTTGTAGCTCAAACTACACTTTTCTGTCTGACACAAGCAGCCAGGCTGCATTAAACATTCACAACCCAAAGGTGTTTAAAATGTGCTAAAACTTATTGTCCAAATTGTGCTGCAGCAGAAGTCTTTTAATGTAAGTGCTGATGCTTTTGAGTTTTTCAAATGAAGTCTTCTTTGTGGATAAAATTATGCGTATTTTTACACAAATTTAAACTCAACTAATGGGCTCGCTGACCTGAAGTCTTACACCACTTACCACTTTGCCTGGTTCATAATGGAGTCCTATGTAAAAATTACATAATTAATAATTGCTAATAAAACCTTTTTATTGACCAAACAATGCAGTGCACAGACCTACTTACAGAACTCCTTGTAGCCACATATGGGGTTGTGATACAAATATGGCCCAGTGGTACGAAGTACACTGTAAAAACAACTATTTTTTTAGTTGTGATGTTTGAACTGTAATGTTCAAAATTGGTAAAGTAACAGTAAATATCTAATTTAACAAAACAGAGAAAATCTGCAGAATAATAGTTAAAAAATAGTAATAATTGTAAAAAAAAAAAAAAAAAATAGCCATTCTTCAGCTGTTAATGTAGCTGCTAAATGTTTTTCTTTCAGATAACAGCAAATATATGTAAAATAATGATATTTTTAGCTGCTTTAAATTCAGTAAAACATGGTATATTTACAGTCCCACAATATAAAAGAACAAATTACTACTTATAAAAATGCTGATTTTTGATGTGGACATTATGTACAGTTTGGGCCTTTTTTGTTGTTGCAGTCAACATGTAAATAAATACTGTTTTTGAATTTTACTACATATCATCTGTAATTTAACAAAACAGGGCAGATCTGCAAAATAGCAGTTTAAAAGAATATTCACCATTTTTTTATCCTCAAGATGTACAAATTGTCTCGTTTCAAATACTGGAAAATTTAACAAGAAAGCAGGAGGGACAGTTAAGAAATAATTAACTATTTTTCAACTGTTAATGTACAAGTTTTTTCTTTGGGATAATGGCTAATACCTGAAAAACAACAATATTTTTTTGCTGTTTTTAATATAGTAAGAAAAAAAAGGATCTTTACAGTCAAGCTATTGTAAAAGTACATGTTTTTAAGTGGACCTTATGTACAGTTTTGCCTTGTTTTTATTGTTAACATGTAAATTGTTACTTTTCTTCCAATAATTTTACTAGTTATTATCTGTATTTTAACATAACAGGGGAAATCCTTAATAGTAATGTTTTTTTTTAATTAATTTAATTTAATATTTGATTTTTTTTACAGTGTATGTTTCTGAGCTTCTCTAGTCGAGCGGCTCCTTTGAATTTCTCGCCATAAATTCATGTTGTTTCTCTCTTGTTGCGACTTTGAGGCTTTACTCGCTCTCGAGACCTGACATTAGAAATTTACGAGGACCTCGAGCGCAAATGTTTGGAGACGATCCGAGCTGCTCTCTGATTGGTCCTCCGGCCCTCAGCAGGACTTCAAAGCCGCAGAGGAGCTACAACTACTGAAGCAGTCGGAGAGGAAACACACACTGATCACATCCAGACACACACATACACACACATCACTGCACGGTCCATGGCTGCTACACTGCTGGGGGTAAGTTTACATTTTTCAGCTCAAACATTTCTTTTCAGACAAACTGCTCGGTTTAGTGGAGTTCTAGCATCAATTAACAGGCTCCAGTCATTACAGCTGTGCAAACTTAGTATATTTGATCTAATATAGTGTCGATGTTTTTCTGATATGTTGATAAAATGATAATATGCATGTATCCATAGCTTCCATAATAAAGCAGCCTTCTTTTTCTAAATCCAGCTGCAGATGTTTTTCTGTTGCTTTCTCTGATCCTGTCAGTTAGTAAATGCTCACACGGGTCGAACTACTAGAGGTGAAGACTTGTGGTTCCATTGGGATGAAGACGCACAGTTGTACATTTGATTTCAGAAACTCTTTCACCGTGCGTCATCCGAAGTGTTTTTGTTTGTTTCATAGGCGTATCCGTTTATTTTGTTATTCATAAGACAAAAAAAAAAAGTCCGTGCTGTGGTGCCAAGGCCATTAGTGAACAAAATACTTGGATTCTTCAAGGTGGAGGCCAACGTTTTGCGCAGACTAACGCACTAGACTTGTGTGTTTGCGCGTAATTACGCACGCCATGTTTAGCCATGACTCTGGAGCGCGTCCCTAAATGCGTGTTTACGTGTGTTCTCCACAGGAGGAACCGCGGCTGGGCAGCACCCCGCTGGCCATGTTGGCCGCCACCTGCAGCAGAATCGGTGAGCCCAGCCCCTCGTGCTCCCCTGCTCTCTCCGATGGAGCCCCGGGTCTTATCAAAGGTTTCCATCCGTGGAAGAGGAGCGCCCCGGGTGCCAGCAGCTTTGGCACCTGTCTCACCTCGCTCGGGGTTTCCTCGGGGACCTCCAGGAGTGGCGGGACCGGGCTGACGGAAGCCTCTAGTGCGTTCTCAGTGACATCTGCCAACTCTCCTCTAGGAAATGATTTTTCCATGTACCACACCGCCGTGCCATCAGACAACAGTGTTCCCGACTCCACGCACGCACAGCGGCCTGTGTTTCTGACCAAATTCCCCTCCCCGGTGGAGGGCATAGCGGGGATATATCCGAGGATGCACGGGCATCCCTATGATTCGTGGTTCAAGCCTGTTGGGGAGGTCGGGAACGGGTCTCCTGCTTGGTGGGACATGGGCACCGGCTGGGTGGACACACAGAGCCCGGCCGGGCTGCCCTCTCCTCTGAGCAGCTACGGCAACGACTACAGCTCCGCCTTCAGCCCCGGTGCCTCTCAGCACCTGCTCCCCGCCGCGCAACACCTGTTTGACGGCTTCAGGCCACCTGCCCCGACTCCCTACACAGAGTCCACGACGACGGCGGCCCCTGCGCTGACAGGAGCACCAGTCGTCTCTCTGCCCGCGTCCTCACGCTCCTCCTCGCGGCGCTACTCCGGTAGAGCCACGTGCGACTGTCCGAACTGCCAGGAGGCGGAGAGCCTGGGTCAGGGGGGCACCAGTCCCCGGCGGAGAGGCATGCACAGCTGCCACATCCCGGGTTGTGGCAAAGTTTACGGCAAGACGTCCCACCTGAAGGCCCACCTGCGCTGGCACACCGGGGAGAGGCCATTTGTCTGCAACTGGCTCTTCTGCGGGAAACGCTTTACGCGCTCCGACGAGCTGCAGCGGCATTTACGCACTCACACCGGGGAGAAGCGCTTCGAGTGCTCCGTTTGCCACAAACGGTTCATGCGCTCCGACCACCTCAGCAAACACGTGAGGACGCACAGCGCGGAGGGCGCAGAGGACGGCGGGGAAGCGGGACTCTGTAAAGGCAACAGCGACTCGGACAATAGCGTCTCCGGCAGCCCGAGCCAGTCTCCGGGACTGAGACCGAGCACTGAGGCACCGAGGGCCGTGGAATAATTTACAAAGCGAACAAAGCAACACGTGGGCATTTGATCACACTGTACCAGCCTGAGTATGTTTTCTTGGACACTTAAAAACTGAAATGGCACTTTATGGTTGACACTGTTTCCTTACCTCATCTGTTGTTTCTTAAAAAAATATATTTTTACTCTACAGTTTATCAAAACCTGTGTTCTTTGAAGACATATTATATGCTCCTAATTTATTCTATAAGCATTCTTTTTTTTTTTAAACAAGTAGCCTTACATAACTCTGTTTTAGCTTGACAGCATCACATAAAAGATATATTTAAGGTTATGTTGTTATCTTAAAATATGTTTGGAATAAGTTGTTATAATTTATCGGTGCTTGTAAGTTGTGATTATACCTGGTATCAATAAAACAGGACCATTTTGGATTTTCTTATTTCTGATTAGGTGTTTGTTTTAACTTTTCTTTTATATGGCAGTTTGTGTTTTTAGGCAAAATCTCAGTCTTCTTTCTGAGAACTACACGTACAAAAGTGTTTATAAGTAACATGAAACAAGCAAAACTATGAGAATGAATTCGTTGGCCTCCCTGCTGTTGATAGAAATACAGGCTGAAAAAACTTTCAGTGACTGTTTGAACTCAATAAGTGACTTTAACGTAGATCTCTATATATGTACATTTAAACAAAATCAGTGCAGACATGCGCTAATAAAAGTAATGAGTTACAGTGGTGGAAAATAATTAGTTCCATTCACTCAAGTGCTGGATTTAAATTCAATTTTGAGTCACTTGTATCCTACTTAAGTGTTTTCATTTGCAGCTACTTTATTCTTCTCATCCACCTCAAGTCTGACACAAATACTTTATGATCCACAACTTCCAATAGATAACTTTAGTCCCTAGTTATTTTGTAAAATTTAGTTCAGTAACACAAAATATAATCAACAAATAGATGAATATCAGATCAAGACAAAACTTTGTTGACCATTGAAGGGAAATTCACAAACTCTCCAGCAGTTAAATCGCTTTTACCACCTTCAGCATTAAAGTGATGAACACGTAGATGCAGCAATAATTTAAATGTAATAATATTATAATTAGTCTGGAGTATTCCATTCTGTATAATGTGCATTTTTACTTTTGGAACATAAAGTACATTTCAATGCCAATACTTTTGCACTTAAGTAAAAAAAATGTAAATGCAGGATGTTTACTTGTAACTGAGTATTTCTAAAGTGTGGTATTACTACTTTTACTTACAAGTACTAGATCTGGGTACTTCTCATATCTCTGCTGAGTTATGTATCAGTTCCTTAGCTGAGGTATAACGTAGGCCTACAGGAGACATGAGCAAATGAAGTTTTCTTGGTTTCAACTGAGTCTGTTCGGCTGACAAAGCACAAGATCGGGATGATTTATCAAACACGACCAGTAAAACGGCAAATTTCTGCAAAAAAAACACCCAAAATTGCGGAGATCTGTGACACTTAGCCCGGCTGCCTTACAGCGCATCTCCACCTAGTGTTCAATTTCTACACATGTACACAAAACATTTAACAGAATGAAATTTGACAAGATGTTGATTATAAAAATAGAGGCTTACAAATGATTCACTGGTGTTCCTTCATGAGGAAATTTCTTCATAAAGGATATTTGTTGAAGTTTGTGTTTCTCTTACGCCTAACAGTGTTCCCACATTTCATTAAAAAATTAAATTCAGATTTGTGCAGTCATGATATCAGATTGCCACCTGATTCTTATGGTCAGCAGTTCAGGACAACCAGGTGTTTGTAATATCTAGAGAAAGTTTGAATAAACAAATAAATTATTCACTGGTTCTTTTGGGGCTGCAAGGTGGCTCGGTGGTTAGCATCGTTGCCTCACAGCAAAAAGGTCGCTGGTTCGCGTCCCAGTGAGGACACCCGAGATCTTTCTGTGTGGAGTTTGCATGTTCTCCCCGTGCAGCGTGGGTTCTCTCTGGGTTCTCCGGCTTTCTCCCACAAGGTCCAAAAACATGTTGAGGTTAATTGGTGATTCTAAATTGTCTGTAGGTGTGAATGTGAGTGTGCTTGGTTGTCTGTCTCTAAGTGTAGCTCTGTGATGGACTGGTGACTTGTCCAGGGTGTCCCCTGCCTTCACCCTAAGTCAGCTGGGATAGACTCCTGCGATCCTAGTGAGGATTAAGCGGTGTATATATGATGGATGGATGGACTGGATCTTTTGGACTCAAAATACAAGTGAAGGGAGGTTCTGAGTGAGTCTGTATAGCTGTACTGTATGTTGTTTCTGTGGAATGTCAACCAGATAGCTAGCAGTGCTGGATTATTCACGACATCATCAACATGACATCGACTTTTCATTTTTAAAAGTATCATTGTTATCAGCGATACGTCACAATCGCAACACTCCTGATTCAAATGTGGTTTGATTCAGTAAAGCTAAACAAAAAACTGATAACTCAAGAAATGATTAAAAAAATCTTGCACATTTTTATTGTGATGGAAACAGTCATGCTACACAATAGTCACATTAATTGACAGCAAAACTACATTAAAATAAAAAAAAGTGCTGTTGTTACTCCGAACTCAATGCCCGGTTAGATGAGATGATTATTACCTTATTGCTGAATTATTCTCATAGTTTAGAGATAGAGACCGCCAACAGTACTCGCTACCTGTATCTCAAATAGCCTTCTCATAAAAATATCAACAATGAACATATCGAATAAAAAAAGAAAATAGAACAGAATCACAATAAATAGCCATTAGTGTTCAAAACTTACAGTAAAATAGAGCAGCTATTGCTGTAAACAACATTGTGTTAAATAAAAACAAATCAAAAAGAGGAACAGGATTGGGCAAGCAAAAGTCTTACAACATGCCATGCAACTGGCAACTCTGGATTCAGAAGATCTAGTGTGCGAGGAATGTGAGGAGCTAACTTCCACCTCTGATCTCAGTACCTTCAGAGCTGCTTTGTACCGTTTCTCAGATCAGCAGGTGAACGCAGACACACAGTTCTGATGTAGAGGTCACATGTTCAGGCGTTTCATGATGCATTTGCCATTAATTGTTAGTACGTCGGTATTTTAAATATGATTCTCACTCCTTTGTTATTCCAGTGTTCCAGTGGATTTAGCTTCCAATGCACTTAAATGCATTTTAATGCCCAACACTAAGCGAACGGATCGCTTCACACCCGCCGTTGCAACCCTCCTGCCCCAGAGACCCCACAGTATTCAGTAGTATAATGCAAAACAATTGCTCTAGTGCAAGTCTAACCAGATTATTAACAACAGCCTGTCATATGAAACTATAATCTCATGATAGAAAAATGCCACAAAATAATTTGCAATGCAGCTGATTGGTTAACAAAAAAAACAAAATACAACAGAGAAACATTTGAAAATGCTGAAAGACAAGGTATGCCGCACATGACTGAAACTGTAATCAAATTAAAAACAAATTTTAAAAAAAAGGCATACAAAGTCATTGGTGTAGCGATGGCAATACAGCTGAGGTCAGTAACGTGTATTATTTGAGACAAAGTGTCGTACATTATGCTGACCACACGGGGGCAGACTAAGACAGGGAGACAGTACAGTTGGATTCTCGCAACAATCACATGTAGTGTTTTCACTATAAAATTATAAATAGAAAGCACACATGCACCTACTTGCACGCACTCACGCACACACACACACACACACACTCATAAGTTAGAGCCGTCATCGCTGCGTGGCTAAAAAGTGAGGAATGGTCACCTTTTACCCTGTAGAAGAAGTAGCCTCCCTGCTGCTACAGAGGAAGAAGAGGTGGAGGGCTTGTGCTCTTTGTTCGATTTCCAGGATAGCGGCCCACGTTAGTCGCACAGCCTGCGAGAGTTTGGTCTGTTTGTTTGACAAATATAATTCCGTGGAGGTTTCATTGCTTGATTTACCGTCGTCGTGGTCGCTGTGGTGCAGCTGGTTTTAGGAAAGGTTAAGAGGCAAGAAAAGAAGTCTTTAGTCCAGCTCGCCTTCTGTATGTCTCTGCCGCCCTTCCTTCTGATCTTTTGACCTCTGCCTAGCACTGCCAGGGGTCACCCAGGGGCATCTTGGGAACCTGGATGTGCATCTCCACGGGGCGGTCGGGTGGACGGTCCCTCCTGTAGGTCACTGTCTTCTCGTTGGTTGTTGGAATGTATGACAGATCCTGGTGGGGGGGGAGGCAAAAATATGCAGTCAGTTATAGCCGCATAAATGAATGTATGGATGCACACAGTCACAGTGAAACCCATGATGCTTATAGGAAGAGGGGGAAGTCAGAAACAATGCAGTGTGTAGGCGAACATATCAATTGTACCGTTGTCATAATGCAACCTAGACTAATGATGTGTTTATGTTATGTGGGATGGATTAAAAAGAAAGTTTTTATGTTTATGACTCGGTTCACTCAGCACGGTTGCACGCTTAGATGTGAATATCCAGTATTTTCATGCAAAAACTACGTTGAGCTTGCCAAGATTATCCAAATTATAGCTACGTATCTTAGTTTTACTGAAGCTCCCCTCAGAACCACAGAAGAGCAGTTGTGTTTTTCCTGACCTTATGACTAATAAACTAACTCTGATGTGTAAAATTACTGGAATGCTCCTTTAACAGCAGCCGCTTCCCTTTCGCAGATTTCATAAAACTGTAGAGTAACCATTTGTTAGATTATGTAAGCACTGAGGAAGTAGGTACAGCTTAGCCACGCAAGCCAAACCTCATGATGATGTGCATTAAACTTCCCATGAGATCATAATGTTGCAATTGAAATATCAGCGGGGAACTGTCACCCATGTAAGACCAATTAGCATACGGGCTGTAATCTTCCGTGTCACGCACAATAAGCGAGGGGTTTTACATGCTTACAAGCCACGCAAAAAACAATTTAAAGTGTGCATATCTCCAGAAAGCCCCCCCCTCCCCTCCTCCATCTACAAATATTCCACCCTCTCCTTCTTCTCAAAGGTGCTGTATGTCATCGGAAGGTCACAAATCTGGAAACTGTAGATGGTGAGCTGGGAGTTGAGAGGAAATGTAAAATACAGCTGCACCTCTAAGAGCGGACTCGAATTTCTCACTCCTGGTTTCAGCGGACAGTACCCGTTAACATAAATATCCTAAAGAATTAACGTGTCCCTAAGGCCGCCGAGGGCTCCGGGGAGACGCCTCGCCTCCCTGCAATTAAAATCCCGCTGTGCTGATGACCACCTAGAGCGTGCTTGACATTTGAGCGCTGACCTTTCCAGTGCAGTGGTAGCCGCCGTCTTCGGCAGCGCCCCCTGGTGACAGGCTCCTCTTCTGCAGCAGCAGCCGGGACACGGCCACCACCACCAGGCCGCACAGCACCGTCAGGGCGCACACGCTCAGGAACGTTCCCACCAGGCGCCCGCTGCTGACACACTCTGTGAACACACACGGCAACACACACATAAGGCTTCGCTGTGGACAGCTGTGCATTTGAGCAATTTAATACTGAACTTTTTGATTCTCGTAGATTAATCGTAGCAACTGAACTTGCTTGAGTTCATTGAAAACGTTTCCCCTCTCGTCCAAGAGGCTTCATCAGTTCTGACTGACTAGTTGGTCGTTAACGACCCACATAACGAGGGGGAGGAGCAACAAACCCCCATTGAAACCAATACTCCAGTGTTAATGGCTCCTTTAAGAAATAAGTATGTGGAACTCCCAACTAGTCAGTCAGAACTGATGAAGCCTCTTGGATGAGAGGTGAAACGTCTTCAAGGAACTCAAACAAGTCCACTTACTACTATTAATCTACGAGAATAACCATGACCTGGATGACTGAGAATCTTTACAGACCTAATGCTGAACTGCTGGTCTGGATACGCAAACACTTCTGTATTTAAACTGCTGTAAATTATTGGATCCTGAAGAAACGCTCTCTCATCTTGCTTGTACTACTGTGTATGTACAGCAACATGACAATAAACTTGATTTGATTTCACTGTAATGAGTAAAAAGCAATAATACAAAATACTGCAAATTTAAGAAATCTAAACGCACACATGTATCAGCACATATATGCACCGCAATTTGTACAGCAAAAAGACGTACAGCTACACATTCACAGATCCCTCATGACTGCACACAAAACCAACACACACTCCCATATTTGTATTAGTGAAAACCCTCATTGACATAATGCATTCCCCAGCCCTTACTTAGTCCTCCTCCTGCAGAAAAGTGATTCAGTGCTCAGATTATTCACCTAAAAATTTCCAAATGTCCTGCATTACAAGTCCTACTTATAGTGAAGTTGTAGAAAAACCACCAGCAGAATGTACCAAAAAGAATTCAAATAAAAGTACTTTGTTGTTGATACTGATTGCCTCAGCCAATGAGGTTGTAATGTTTCATTGCTGTTTGTTTGTGAGCAAGATTACGCAAAAACTAGTTTCATGAGAATTGGTGCAGAGGTGGAGCATATACAAAGAAAGAAAGTTTGGTGGACATCCAGATCAGTTTATTTAAAATTGCCCCAAAAAAACCAAAACAAAGTTGCATAAAGTGGAAATAATCAAGTTGAGTACCTCCAAACTTTACTACAGCGCATACCTAAGAGGGTTATTTTCTGCACACAGAGCCCAGTGAGCAGCAGCTGTACCAGCGGGGCTGTCCTGAACAGTTAGCTGGCTGTGTATCTGCTGGGGAGCATGTGTGGATGACGGGCTGATCCCTCAACACAAAGAGCCCAAAGAGCGCTCTGACATTTTGTAACTGGGTTACCATGGAGACCTGGCTCCTGCTGCACCCGGGAGGAGTGGGCGTGAGCAGGAAGAGACTGTCCCGTTGGGTGGAGGGGGGCATGAGGGGATAGGGGGAGATGCAGTGAGTGCTGAGGTGGAGGGGGGGGGGGACGGACGCACAATGAGCGGTGCTGTTCCAAAAATTGGGGAGGCGGGGATGAACTGTAACACTTGGATGTGCGACCTTGTGTGTGTGTAACCCAGGCCCATGTGTGAGATGGTGGGTTTCAAATTATGTGCGTGAGTATGTGTGTGTGTGTGTGTGTGTGTGGCTGAGAAAACGAAGAGAGTGAGCTGGGAACTGAGGGGAAATGTAAAATACAGCTGTAACACTGACAGCAGGCTTGCTGACTCAAATACACCAGGGTGTAGTAGCGCAGCAATGGTAGCAACGGAAGTGACCTGGAATGAGAGCATGTGTGCGTGTGTTGACTTTATACCTGGTCTTGTGCTGATGTGGAGCTGCGTCCGACCGGACTGAGAGCTGGTTTGAAAGCGATAGCGACAGCTGTCCTTGCTGATGTACATGCACTGAATCCACATCTCTCCTGCTTGACCTGGACGTGCAGAGAAAGGAAGAGAGCTGTGAGAGATGCCAAAGACACCGACCGAGATCAAGATCCAGCAGCCATAAAGAGTCCTGGAGGATTACTTAAATGAAAGAGTAGCATGACCAGAGACATGCTGTGTGTTCTACAGCTCTTCATTCCTCACAATAACACTGAATCAGTCATTTTTAATTATACTAAAATGAAGGATTTCATTAATAATTCACTTGAAAGGCGTCACAAATCACCAGGCCTGTTTGTCTCCTTTAGCTCGTTGCTTTGTTTTTCTCATCAGCTCCTTACCGGCCTCATTTGTTTTGGACAAAGTCAGAGTTAGTGACTGTCTGGTGAACACAGCATTTTGCAGGAAGAGAGAGAGAGAGAGAGAGATATCAATTTCAGGAGCTGGTGGAGACCAAAACAGAGCTATAAGGAGAGTGAATATTGAGCTTGTTGTTTGTCGTGACTATAAATCACTTCAATTCAGTTGTTGTCATGTTGTTCTGTGTCTGCTGGATGTGTTAAAGGGTAACTGTGTGCTAGCTTGTTGGGCTTAGTAACTTTATATGTCAGTGATATTTACAATATTGACAATAACCATGTCTTTAAAAAAGAAATATTTAAACAAATTATTAATACACATATGTAATTGTTCTGACTCCTGTCAGGCACTGAAAAAGTTAAGTTCCCCCTGCTGGTGATTATCAGTTACTGCACCTTTAAGGGTCAGGCACTTTAAGTGTGCATGCATAAGCTGGAAGTGCTCCACCACAGAGAGTTGGTTGTCGGAGTCTTGGAGTGGAACCAACAGTGAGTACAGATGATTGTTTTGGTTGTTTGTGGCACTTTGATCTGGAGGATGGCATTTGAGGTGTTTGTTTTGTGTCACGGAAACCGTGCTAGCGATGCTAATGCTAATCGCGGCGCTAACCGTTAGCATGAGGCTCGTTGTTAATGTTATATGCTATGTTTATATGTGAACCATATGACTGTTTAGTACACTGTTACCTGTGGAAGCATAGTGGTGTTGCATATATGTAATTTCAAATTGTAACATTGTTTGTATGTCATTGTGTTGCAGTTTTACAAAAAAGTACTGAGAAGATTCAGTAAAGCAGCTTCGTTGGAATCTACTGGGTCTCTCAAGTTTGTTCGCTATCTGTCAGCCAGTACAGAATAGTAATGTTCTCCAAAATATATAACAGTTATGGTTACAGACTCTTTCTCCATCTCCTTGCCACTATGAGTATAACTCATTTACCAAAAAAGAGACAAAACACCTTGTAAACTAAGTTAAAGATGACTTTAACCAAAAGCACTGTTTTGTTTTCAAATTTTTCATAAACATCATGCTGATATCATTCAAATGAATTGTTTTGTGCATGATAATCATGTTTTGAAAATCTGATATTTGCCAAAAATGAACACCCAATAGAACTCTTAGGTTTATAGTCAAATAGTAAATGAGAATTGTAATATTTTTTGGCTGAAGCACAAGCTCAAATGGAGCCAATGCTTTAAATTAAAGCAACAAAAGCGTCTCATGGCTGCTATTTTAAAATTAACTTCCCTTTGACCCACAAAACTGCAAAAGATTCTGCAGACTACACCAGCTGTACCTGATGCATCATCCGTGTAGCCGACCAGCGGAGCGCAGGTGTTGTTGCAGTGTCCCACCTCGTTTTGTGTGAGGCCATGGGAGAGGTGGCAGTCAACACACTTCCTGAGAGACACACACACACAAAATAAATTACAAATGTGCAATTAGCTCTGTGTGAGCTCCCATCATACTTTGCGGTAGTGAACAGAAGCTGATTAGTACCAGTGCGACTGGCAGCTGCTTTGACAGGCTGGACATCTCTCACAGAAGTCTCCGGAGTGTTGGGGGTCGTCACACACACATTTGCCGCACACACACCTGCCTCGCCCGCTGCAAAGCAAGCCGTTCGGCGACTGGCAGGTCGCCGTGGAGACGGGACAGCCACAGCTCTCACCTGTCCAGCCGTCCTCACACACACATTCGCCTGACGCGCACACACCTCGACCTGAGAGGGTAAAAACACAGACAGGAGGAAGAGGTGTTACAGAAATGAATTCAAAACTGCAGATGAAGTGATTTCATTGTTGCGTTTTCATTTCTCGTGACATCTGTGTGAACTGAATGAAGCGTGTCCCTCTTACTTCCACACAGCAGCCCCCCTTCGTACGGACAGGAGAAATCGTCCATCTCGCAGTATTTCCCGTACACCGTCCCGAGCCTGCTCTGCTCGCACACACACCTCCCGCAGTCGCACACTCCTCGGCCGCTGCACTCCACGTCAGACCCATCTGCTCTGCAGCTCCAGTTCGGGTCTGTGCTTGAGTCCTTCATCAGTCCTTGCTCCTGCCTCAGCTCCTGACGGGAACCTTCTTGGGTTCGTGTGCAAGGTGATTGGTTGTCGTCATGGCAACGTCCAACTGGTCCACAACTGCACTGACATTTAGAGTGGACCCTGACGACAGTGGACTCGTTGTAACCCACAGGGTGGACCATCACTGTTATGTCTTCATCCTCACCGTCGTCGGGACAGGAGTGCTGACCAATGGTGATGTTGAAGTAGGCCTGCACAGCACAACAAAGGAGTGAAAAAACAGCAATAGGGGGATCTTTAAAGGTTTTCTTTTAGCAGTCCACCATGATCAAGCTCAACAGCTTTTGGATAGACTGCTACAAGATTCTGTACATTCATGACCCTCCGACTATGTTGTGTTCAAAATTGCACACTACATACTACAGCTGCCCCTGACAAAGTATGCAGTGTCGCCTGCACTGTTTATACAACTAGGACGTACTGTTTTGTCATGATAGTTCTTCTGAAGCTTTGACTGTCTTACTCATTTATTTGTCACATCTGTATGTGAAAATAACTGTAATCTGTTTGTGTGCTCTCAAGCTTGTTTATACTCGTCTGAGACACTGTGACATATTTTCCGCTGTTTTCCGTCTGTGGGTCAGAATGGCCAGAACAGCAGATGTGGTTGGACATTCTGGTATTTTTGGCACACTACATTCGGCATACTTTGTTTTGGGACACACTGGAACTTTATCTGGCACACTATACAAACTGTTGCACATAAAGTTGGAATATATTTTGTTTTCAGGCACATTCCTCTTTTTAGTTCTATTTATACACACTATAATCACTTTTGACCATGACCAATGATTACTAACTGAGTCCCGGTTACCAGGTGAAACGAATTCTGACTTTGGGATCTGACTGAAGAGTGGGACGTCCTGCCCACTGACATCATCAACAAGCTTGTGGACAGTATGCCACCATGTCTTTACGCATTGATTCATGTCAGGAGAGGCCATACTCAATATTAGTGACTGAGTAACATTTGAATGAGTAATATTGGACATTCTAATGCATGGAATCCCCTCAAATATGTGTTTCCTGTTAAATTGAACAAGGTTGAGAAATTGACACAAAACCCTTAATCCTATTGTTCAATACCTCAAACGTAGTTTAACCTCTTAAGACCTGGCATCCACATGTGTGGACATCACATTTTGGTTTACATTACCACAGTAGTAAATTAAAAAAAAAAAAAATCATTACTTTATTATTGTTATTTGATTTTATTCTTTATTTTTTAATATATTTTTTTTATTTAAAAAAAATATATATATATTAATATATTTTTCTTTATATTTTTTATTTTTCATTCTCAAAGAGAAATAAAAAATACAAATCAAACAAGAGCTGGGTCTTAAGAGGTTAAGCCTGAGTACACAGTTTGCAAACATTCATTGTGGTTTAATTTTTACTGTGATATCAAGAAAGTTTTTAGAAGGTATACAAGAATATCTATCAAGAATAAATCACATTGTCACAATCATGTCATGAGAAGAGGTAAAAAAATATATTTTATTCCAACTTTACGGGCAACAGTGTAGTATGGTAGTATGGGTAGTGGATTAATTCAATGTTTTTTCTCTGGTGCCATCAAAAGATCAAAAATTGAATTTGTCCAAATAGTTGCACAACTTATGACACCCCTCAAAAGCCTCAGCTATACTTTGTGTTTAGTGCCATATTGCAAATGTTATTGTATCTGCTAAACATCTCATTGTAAGCATGTTACCACGCTGAATTTGACTGTCATTTAGGCCAAAGCAGTGCATCAGGAGCCTGCTGTTGCTTAAGAGATACTGTGTAGTTCCACAGTAATGAAACTGTAAATCTAAAAGAAAGGCCATCAGCTGAGCTACCTCTCATTGCAAAAGTATGGAAACCTCTAATAAGTCTTAAATAACTGGAGATAAGGAACCTTGAATAATTATCCTGTAGGTGTATGTGGCAGATGTGGAAAATTATGCATGCGAAAGCTGTGAATGTACAGTCGAGCCTCTCTCTTGATTTTTATCACCATTCTGGTAAGTGTCGGTACTTTCCAGCATTCTCTTTAATCCACCCTCGGATTAAAGGGCTGAGCTTCAGTGTCTTTTGTATAGTGAAGTAACTATAGAGCAGTGATTTAGTATCTTGGTGTTAAGAGCCCCATAAGGAAAGAAGCCTCACAGGCAGTTAAGGGAGTGAATAGCTAAACAATTTCCAAATGTATAAATAATGTTACAATTAGTACCAAAATGGGCCCTTTGTGGTTGTTTGAACTGAGCATTTAATGACAGCAACCTTTAGTAAAAATCATTCTGACTGCAGGAGACTTTTGCAGAACTGAGAAGTATCAAAAAGAGCTCTCTGCAGTCGTAAAGACTATTTATGGCTGTTTCTTTTGGTGGAAAACGAAACAGGTATCAAGCAGTGCATGTCCGGTGACCTATTTCTAAATATAAATGTCCCATTTGTTTGCCTGAAGGCTCTCATATTAAGCAAGGTAAGGATTTTAGGACAAAAAGGTCATGGAATCACATGGAAATGTTTTCCTGTTAAATACAGCCTGTAATCCGCTCAGCCCGGATTATTTACCAAATCTTTTCTGTCACGTAAAGCTCTCAGCAATGTGTGTGAGAGTGTATTTGTATATGTCAAAGTAATCCAATGCAACCAATAAATGTTCTGTGGCGTCTCGAGGAGCTTAATTCCAAGATTTTGGTATGAAACCTTACAGTGTATGAATCATGCAAGTGCTCTGTTGTGTACTGAAGGTGTGCTTTTTGTGTTTACCGTCTGGCCTGGCTGCACCCCCGAGCAGCTCCGGTCCTTAGCAGTGGCTCCGTCAGGACAGATTGGAGATACAGACACCCAGTACCTGCTGACTGCCTCATCCTGCACCGACACGGCCACCGCCACCTCTGACAGCAGCCTCTGGGCAGAGCGAGAGTGGAAAGAGATTGAAGTTAGTGCCTGATCTTAAGAGTTTCAACTTAGTGTGCTGCAATGTGGGCTAAGATAAAAGACAGGGGGAGGAACAGTGGCAATTTAAAATTTTAATGAACATAATCTGCGAGGGTGAAAAGTAATGAAGCAAGAATGGGAGGGAGAGAGACAGAGAGGGGGAACTCGGATTAATTAAAGTTGTCACATGTCGCCAGAAAGCCCTTATTGTCGCCCTCTCTTTCTTTCTGAAATACAGGGGGATTTATGGGAACAAGGAGGTGGGGCCAAAAATAGCATCTTTGTATTCGTCCCTGATTAGGACACATGGTTTCTGTGGGATCTGATAGCCATTATAATGCCAGCTTCTGTTTGGACTCTGCTGCTTGTGTATGCATGTGTGTGTGTGTGTGTGTGTGTCTGCACGTATGCGTGGCTGTGCACCCAGATCTGTGGATTCGGCAGATTCTCGAAGCAAACAATGGAGCGCTGTGCCGGAGGCAAGATTATAGCCCGGACCGCTGCCAGCTAAACAAACCCCTACTCTCACTCACACACACACAAATGAGGCTTTACCCGTCCTTAACCTGCTTTTCCCGTCTGTGTTTTTCTGGTTCATTAGACTTTTGGTAACCAAAAAAAACCCCTTTTTTCCCAAACTTTAGGACTTTAAGTTGCAAAGGATATTAGTCACACGTATTGTCTCGGTAATTCAAGCTTATCTTAAGACAAACGTACACGTCTGCAATACGGTTAAAAAAAACAAAAAAAAAACAAAGGACACTTTCAGGAATGTGGTATCAATGATTTCCAAGCATTTTCTGCAAGTAGGAGTTTGCTATTAGTCAGCCTGCATGATTAATACAAGTCCAAATGAAATCCAAGGTCATGTTGCCTCAGCACATCGGCCTCAACACTTTCATCTGTTGGTTCATGAATTCATCTGTTGCTGTGCTGCTCTGCTCGTCTGTCCAGCCTTTCTCGTGTTCCAGTCTTTGTCTAAAGAATGACCAAGTTAATGAGGGACCTAAAAGAGGAGGAATACATGAGCGCTTTGTACCTTGTATGCAGCCACCACCAGCTCTATCAGGTTCGGAGCCTGGAAGAGGCCTAACTTTCCCAGGTAGGAACCAGGAAGCAGGCGCACCAACTCCTAAAAAAAGTACAAGGAGATGATAGTAGAGAAATAAAACTGAAGGATGCAGATCAGCTCTGGAACAGCATGGTGAAGCTAGCAGAGATTTGTGTAGGTTCATGTGATCAGGAAGTTGGTCACTTGTTAAATCTGTTTCAGTGTATGTTTTTACACCTCACTATGTTGTAAGTGCACATGTGTCGGACAGATTACCTCATACCACTGGTACTGCTGCTTCTCCACAGCAAAGATGGAGTACATGTGGTTTTCAAGCAGCTTATCGGACAACTGACCCAAACTCGGATGGTCCTGCAAAGGAGACAAGCAAGGTATCAAAGTATTAAATTACCCATGATCATGATGTATCCATCTTTAAATGACGTGAATGCACTGTCGGATCAGAAATCTACAAAACTCATTTCACCCGCAGCCTTAAAACAAAGTCCATATTAATGTGAGATTACGTGAACTTCAAGAGGTTCGGCTAATCCTTCTCTCACCATCCTGGTGCTCCCCGTGTAGACGTTGTTCTCCAGGTGACACAGGCCGTCGTGAGGCGTGACGATCCCCGCCAGCCGGCTGTCCAGAGCCAGATGAGATGGTTGGTCGGTCATCAGGAGCAACAGACGTTTTGCCTCCGGCCTCCAACCTACCGCCCCCTGAAAGGCAGATACGGAAAAAAAATCAAGACATCATGTTGTGCTTAGCTCAGACCACAAAATGTCTGTTTTTTACTGAAGCAGCTTCACAGATTCCCCCCATTGTTATGCTCTTAAATCACTCGTTATCGACATTCGTATCGACTGATGTGGCAAAAATGCGCATGCTTCATATTTTAGAGATTTACAAGTGTGGTAGAAAAAAATGCACATTCAAACATTTTAGTCATCTGAGCTACATTAGTTTCCATGATGATCAGGTCTTTCTGCAATGCCCAATTAAAGGAAAAGCAGCAGAAGTTCTTGTTTGAGCCAGAGAGACTCCCTCTTTATGTCTGTGACTAATCATAGGCAGTGTGAGAAAATGGGACTCTGTGTGCATGTGTGTATATTTAAGGAAAGTTAGTGAGCGTATATGTAGGCCTGACATAATGGAGAGTCTATTTCGAGAGTCATGACCACCGTGGTGTCTCCCTGCAAGCTGGCTACTCATTGCCCCCTGCACGGCGTGACTCACGGCCCCCCTGCTGCTGTAGTGTAAGCAACTGTGACCGTGTGTCTGCTATTGCCCGGCAGTGGTGTCATTACTTCGTAGGCATCCAGTGGCAACATCCACTGCTGAGTCAGAGTGCCACCACGCTCCCAGAATAAATGCCTCATTCACTGTCATGCATACTCACCAAATTTCAAAATGAAAATGCCCCTTTAGATTTATATGTATGAATGTACACATGTGTGACAAATTAAAGGAAAAACTGACGTAAAGCGTCTCAGTAAGGGGGCTGTGTCACCACATACTGGCAGAACTGCTTCTAAGCTCCTAAATACCGCACCCTCCTTCCAACATATATTCTTTATTCAGTGTTTTCATGATGAAGATAGACAGCGCTGTTTAACATGTCGCTCCAAAAGCTCCAAGAAGTGGAGATTCAGATCTGGTGACTATGAAGGCCATGGTGTATGATTCACATCATTTTCCTACTCATGAAACCAGTCCGTGACCCCTCCAGCTCTGTGGAACTCCCTTGAGTCTTAATAACTCCCTTGAGGACAGAAATGTTTCATCACAGGATGAAAGCAATCACTCAGAGCAACTTCATATTGATGTACAACGACCCTTCCTTCGAAGCAAAAACGAAACCCTGCTACCAAAATTTCCCCCACAGAGCTACCAGATCACCTCGCTGTAGGGGTCGAACATATGGTGAAAGATGACTCATCTGAGCAAATTGCTTTTTTTCCCCACATCTCTGTAGATGAATGTCTCTGGTTGTTGCATCACTCAATCCATCCATCCATCCATCCATCAGGTTTTCTCTGCTTGTCTAGGAGTCGGGTCACGGTGGCAGCAGGCTATAAGCAGAGCATTCCAGACGTCCCTCTCTCCAGCAACATTTTCCAATCCTCCTGGGGGATCCAAAGGCATTCCCAGGCCAGATGAGATGTAACAATCCCTCCAACGAGTTTGGGGGTCTACCCCGTGGTCTCCTCCCAGTTGCTCCTGCCCCTAAACCTCCAAAGGAAGGTACCAAGGATGCATCCTGAACCAACTTTACTCCGACCTCCTCACCTTATCTCTAAGAGTGAGTCTATCCACCATATGATTGAAGCTCATTTTGGCAACTTCTTCGTTCTTATTCTTTTCGTCACAAACAAGAGCTCTCAAGTGTAGATGAGAGTTGGAACAAATACATATACTGACTACTTTAACTTTCAGCTCAGCACATGTGAGCTCCCAATCGCTTTCATGGGAGATAAGTGAACTTCATTCACCTAAAGAAAAGCTGCTCTTCTGTTCTTTCTAACATATGGCAACAATACAAAACATCCCAGTCATCAGATGTGAGCTGTCGACCACAAGTTGTGCTCTACTTTGCTGGTGTGCTTCCCACACATCTATATGCACTTTAGTCACTGCTAATAAAACACTACCAGGTTGAGCAGTCACTGTGACTGAAGCTCCTGTCATCTGTGCCTCAACAATGAACCCGCCTTCAAAGACACTCAGATCTTCTCCTCTTGTCATCTTGATTCAAAATCAGACTCAACTGCTTAGTATTTTTAAAACTGCCACAAAACATGATTGTAATTTTAAGATGCAGAGCACCTTTGTAGAAGTGTCTGCTGTGTTTTTCATTCATTCAGTTTGTCCTCTAATTGCCATCTGTCTTCAAGCACATCAACACACACACTCACCTGGCAGACAGCAGCTTGCAGCATAGCATCGAGCCCTCCTTCAGGTGTGTCCATGTTACCGGAGATGCGCTGGCGCTTGATCACACGAGTGAACTCTGTTACGTTCCCAGTCATACTAAGTACGTGGTGAAAGCCGTGGGCTGGACGACAGCGGATCTCATAATCGCTGGTGGGAGACGACAAAACAGACAAAAGTTTTTAATTGCAACACTCAGGAATGCAGAACTCGGTGTTGTTGTTTTTGTCTCCCGGCACAGTTCATCATCATGACAGTGTTGCCCCCAACAACTGATGAGTCTCTCGCTGAGTCACACAAAATTGGGAGCAACTAATGAGAGCAGCCTGCTTGGATTTTTTTTTTTTTTGTAAAACACCACTCTTCTTTTCTCATTAAAAGAAAAAAAAAAGTAATCTGAGGAATATAACAGAATTTATAAGTGGTATAGATCTGTCCTATTCATAAGGTGAAAAATAACAAAATGAGCAATATTGAGAGGACTCATGTTGCTGTTTTTTAAAATATTAAATTCTGTCTCCTACCTGCAGGGGTTGCTGATCTTTGAGGGATGGACATTGATGTAAGGGGAGACAGGCTTGTCCACAAACGAGCCAAAACCAAGCCAAAGGTCTGAAGAGTGCTCCGTCATACGCAGGGACAGAGCTACGCCCACCGTCTTCAGCTGGACCACAGACAGAAAATAAAGATCCAAGGTAAAGATAAAGGTATATAGGAAGAGAGGAACGAAAGAGGTAAGAGCACACAAAGACACAAGAGGATAGGAGAGAGAAAAGAAAAAAAAATGAAGGAGGCACAAAAGAAGGAAAACAAGAGCATTCATTTATTTCAGAGGTTTTCTTTATGTACATAAATCAGGGTAAAATTAACATATTTTCTTTCAAATCTGTAGGCTGTGTAACAAATTTGTGATCATTGAGAATTAAAGTCAAATCTTGGGGAAAAAAACCACATTTCTCTCTGAGAAAACGAAGGGCAATGCGTCACCACTGACTCACTCTGCAGCAGAGTGACAGCTGCACGTTTTAACACCTACGTGATCCAGGTTTTCCTGCATCGAAGCCGACACATCCACCAAGTAGTACAGATCCACGGGGTAACGCTCCAGCTGCTTCACGGAGACTATGAAACTGGCCTCTGAACCTAGAAACACACACAAAAAGTTTACATTAGCTTTAGGAAACTTGGTATAAATGAGAAATCCAGTCACGTGCTGCACGAGGGAACCATGCACAAGTCTAGAATCGCCTGCGGCCTACCTGGTCTGAGGGTGATCCTGATGTCTCGTGGGGCCACTTGTGTGCTGCTGATCGTGGCGTTGACCTCCACCTTGGTCTCCGACTGCTCCATGAACTCCGGTCCACAGCCTCTCCTGCGCAGGTTCGCCGGCAGGTCGCAGCGTTGGCTCAGCCCCACTCCATTCAGAAAGTCCTGAGGGGTCAAACCAGGTCAAGATTTAAAATGATGAGTTTGGAAATGTGTCCCTAAAAAAAATATTTTCTAATACATAAATCATTTGCAATTTAATTTTTACAATAAAAACTCGTTTAAAATGTAAAAAAAAAAAAAAAAACAATGACAAGAAAAAAAAAGACACAGAACAGAAACCAGACAAGCAAGCTACATGTGAGATATCATCATAGTAATCTCATCTCACACAAACAAGTGGATCAAGTTGGCTGCCATGTAATCTCATAGGCCGGAGAAACCGACGCTGCCAAGTATGTGACCCTCGTGAATGTGTAATCTGTAGAATCTGTTCTGTATGTTTGCTTTACAGCTGTAATCCTTTCATTTGTATCGTGACCACATCTCCCCCTGAGCCAGTCTGAAGGAGGGAAGGACAGAAAATTTCGAAGTCAGTCAGATGGAAAATTGCCTGTACACTTGTTCCACTGTTTCTCACTGCGCCCATTCACAAACGTAGGCAGCGTAAACAACCGCAGCACACAGCTCGTGATGCATTTAATCTTCAGCCCCGCTGGTTTTGTTTGGTGATTTCTTTTTTGTTTTTCGTGTACTAAGTGATAAACCATTCAGCTAGAAAGTCTCATTTCACACAAGGAAACATGACAAATTGAAACCACTTTCACAGTTGCTCGCTGTGATTTCATTTTTCAATCCTGTCCCTTTTTATTGCGTTTGTATTGATCTGTGATGGAGTCACACCGATGTGAGAACCGGTGGCTGTTTTGTTACTTGACTCATCGGTTCGAAATATCAGGAAGAGATTTCTGCTCGTGTCGACTCATCCATGTGCAGATCGGTTCTCTGTGAGGAAAGGAAATCTAAGAAGGAGCTCAGATGGAGAACTCTGCATCGGTGGTCCTATTGACTTTTTCTTAATTTGATCAGCACTTTGTTAAGTGAGTCTTGATGTGTTGTAACTAACTCCCTGCCAGCTGCTCTAGCACCACATTAAAACAGCATCATGCCTTGTAGCTTTGGAGCGGATTAGTGACCTTTGGCGCTGCGAGGCTGTGAGAAACAGAGAAATTCAGCACAGTTGCACCAGAAATATACAAACAAACAGTTTAATGTGTGTAATTAAAGTTATTTAGTTATTAACCGGTCATGGGCCTGACTGGTATGAATCCATGTCAAGAGCATGACACGACTAACAACATCATACTATAAGGAATGAAACTAAATTGGTATTGCGGCCACTTTTAAAACAGAAAATCCAACAGCGCTAGCAGGCAAACAGTCTAAAAGCAGCTGCAACTGTAGTTGAATACGTAACCATGACCTGAGCCTTATGGTCATGCATGTGGCTTTAATTCACCCCACAACAACTCTGAACACTGAGAAGTTTCAGACTGACTTCGCGGGACTTTCCTTGCAAAGGTTGCCCCCCTTTTTACAGAATGTTAACAGGCGCATGTGAACATGCATATTTATACTATATGCATATTCAAGTGTGTTAGTTTGTCGTGCTCGTCCATGCACGGCTATGTGAGTTTTTGTTTGTGTGAGCGTGTGGGAGGTTACAGAAGTGACGTCTGAACACACACACACACACACACACACCACTGAAGCCACCCCCGATTGGTGACGTCAGAGAGGTTCACAGGGTGGGAAAGCACCTGAAGTCTGTAAAACACACACATGTTGACAGTCTGGTCTAGCCGGTGTAATTTCTACGAGTGAGTGTGTGTGTGTGTGTGTGTGTTGTGACTGGCGTGGCAGACTTTACGGCCTCTCAAGGCTGATTCAGGGTGGGCTCTTTACAAGACGGGCTGACCAAAAAGACAGATACACACAGGGATGCAGTGATATGCGCGAGTGTCGAGACTAAACACATGGACAGAAGGCGGCTCTGTCTCTGTGAAAACGTGCATGAGAGCAGACTGTCACAGAGGTCACGCTGCAGGCCACGCAGCTCAAACATTATATTCACATTTGTGGATGGCATCAAAGCCGAGCCGAGGAATGCTGCTGAATGTCTGCCACGTTCGCATATTTTCTTTGGCACACGCGCACACTTTTATACACATTCCCACCTCCTTGAAACACCAGGCGCACTGTGGTCCACGTCTGAGACAATCTGTGCAAGAAGCGACGCTGGGCGACCAACACGCACTGGCACCTGAGGACACAGAGATGAGAGGGGGGGGAAAAAAAGAGGCGTTAGAAGTAAGAGAAGACAGTGGAGAAAGAGAGAAGAATCTAGGATTAGCATATGAAAGAACGTGTGTGTCAACACTCATTAGCCGTGCAGCCGAGGCCCCCTGCGGATATTTAGAGATCTGGTGCTCACTCCTGATGATCGAAGCACCACTTCAGCATCTTATATGGGGGCTATTCATGTGTGGATCAGTATGGGAGTGTGGGAACAGGTGCTTGAGTTGTCAGAGAGGGGTGAAACATTCACACACTGATTCACGCATCGTATCATGACTCAATCAGCATATCCTGCATCTGATGTGTGTTTTCCTGGAGTGACACTACAACAAGTCATTCAACTTTTACGCAAAAAGAAAACAAAAAAAATGCAGAAAGGAAGATTTTAGTGGGTGACAAAGGGCACAAAAGAAAGGACCTAGGGCTTCCTGTAATGGGATTAATGATTTATTGGGGCGATTTATCTGCTGAAATCCAATTTTCCGGAGCCATTTCAGTGAGCTGTAGAGATGGAATGTAGGACAGAGAAAGGCTGCAGGTCTCACTGTGTCTAACAGCAGACACTATCAACCCACTATGACCCAATTAGCAGTCTGGCCTCTGGCAACAACAACAGAAGAAAAAAAAAAACTCCTGGAAAGGTGATGCACTTAAATTCCAATTAGAAATGATCAATACAGGCTGAACCAAGAGGCTGGAAGGTTCAGTTTAGAAATGATTGCTCCTCCTCACCTTGCTGTGCTGTGATATGTGCCAATTTATTTATAAGCTTAAAAGAGCTAGTTTAAAAGGAGAGAAAACTTCTGATGGGGGAGTCTTCCACACACGGCCCCCCTGTAGAGAGGGATGCTGCGCAGTGATCAGCTCGACATGATGCAGGCTAATTGCTGGGATATGATGTAATTGGCCCCTAATGAGGCTTCACTCACCGGCGCTGGAGGCTCCTGCGCACAGAGCGACGGTCAGGCAGCAGAGGAGCAGGAGGCGCACAGGGACGTATGTGCGCAGCCAGGAAGTCATATTATCCTCTCCAACGCCGGGTGGCTGACCGGAGCGAAAGCAGCGAGTAGGAGGAGACACACGGAGCTTTTACGGCTTACTGGAGACGAACCGGAGGAGACCGAGAGGAGGCACCGTGCGTCCGCCGCCGCACGAACAATAGCCGGGAGTGCCGGACCGAGCCGCGGGACATTGTTGTTCACCCAATAAACCCCTCTCTAATCCCGGAGAGGTATTCAGCATCCCCTCGCCGGGTCAAATCAGCTTACAAGCGCGCTCCCCCCGTGGACCACGAGAGGAGGTGAAGCGGTAGGATGCGTCAGCTCCGAGTCCCTCCATCTATCTCCCGGTCAGGTGTGCGACGTGTCTCCCCGCGATGGTCTCACTGAAGTCTCATCCCGGGACGGTCCACGCCGGAGTCGCGCACACACGGGGACACCCAATCAGAGCAGGCGGCGCGCATCGACATGCTGACTGAACATCACGCACCAAAAGCGGCAGGATGACCGCGTTTTAACCGCTGGACTGACTCAGGCGAGGCGGTGCCATGGCAACGATACGCTGTGTATCAGAGAGTTAAAGAGGGAGGGAAGAGAGACAAATAAGGAGAGAGAGAGAGGGAGAGAGAGAGAGAGGGAGGGAGAGAGAAAGTGCTTACTACACGGAGTTGTGGTGCGCTGCAGTCCAAGTGAACCGTGAATTGAACGCTGGTGTTATATGGCTTCTTGAGGGAGCTATTTAACAGCACCGGGGGCTCCTGTGTTGTGTGAGTGTGGATGGATGATGAGGGGGGTGGGAGCTCCTGCAGAGGGGGGTTCACAAGCTGGTGCTACAGGCGGAGGAGGAGGAGGAGGGGGTCCATTGTGCGCAGATTCCAATGACATGGAGTAACCTCGACTCGCCGGCTGCTCCGCTGAGCAGGAGCCAAGTACTTACTAAACAACGCAGGAAAACAGAGCCACGCTATGACAAAAGACACGACAGGTCTACCATCTTTGGCATGACCCTGTGCTTGGAGGTCCAGCAGATAAAAGAGACATGTTTGGTTTGGCACGCAGCCTCAGCAGTGACTGTGCCAACAGTCAGGACCGGTGCGCAGCAGTGAAGCTCACCCTTATCTACTCTGTTTGACCCCATCTGTCTCAGGAGCCTGGAGCCCAGCCAGTCAGGCCTCTCCTCTCATTCATTCACATAATTTGTCAATGGTTTTTCTTTTTTTGTTGTTGTTGTTGGAGGCAGGGGGTGCCAACACCTCCCCATCCATGCACTAGCAGTCACTCTCAATTATGGTAATGATGCAAACACACACACACACCACTCTGTTTTCCAAGTGTGTGAAAGATCTGCAGGCCAAGTTTCTCCTCTCTAAGGTGGCAGGAGGAAGCCTTTGGGGAGGGCGTCTGTCTGGAGCGCGAAATATTCTCTGTTGAGCAAACTTGATAATGGACTCTAGTGTAAACACCCCCTCGCCCCTGTCAATACTGGTCAACATCAGTATCTTAATGACAGCTGTCACTGTTGTAAAAAAAAAAAACCTGACACAAACCACTCTTCCTCTGTGACATTCCTCCCCCTCCTTTCCGACCTCCATGCCCTCCTCCCCCCTACTCTCTTCTACCCCCCCGGTATGTTTGTGTTAGCAGTCGGCTGGGCTTTCCATCACGCTGGTCTGGTCTCATCACTCTTCAACCACACACGTGAACCACTGCTTTTGAACCATCACTCCCCCTCAAACACCTGCCTAACTTTGTTTCCAAGTCCCCCCCCTTTTTTTTCTCACCCATCTCAGTCATCTCACTGATTTTCTCTCTGAAGTATCTCCCACACTCTCCTTTCAGCCTCCACATGTCTCTGGCTAAGTTGACGTGAGGACAAAGTAGGGGTCGAAGGTGAGCTGGGAGCCGAGCGGGGATTCCCATGCAGAGATCCAAACAGAGCCAGCTCAAGTGTGAGGAGTGACTCTGACATTCAGAGGGATTCTGTAAAATAATTTTGAAAAGAAGGTGTCTGAATGTCAGCATTGGTGTGATTTATCATCGGTGGGAGTCTAACAATTGAACAGATAACTCAATTTTTGTAGATTTTCAGCAAACTTTTTCGTTGTTTGCTTGAGATAATGTCTTTGACTTAGTAGGAATGACATGACAAAAGTAGAGATAACTTAAGTTTGATTGATATTGTCTCAGGTAGACGATGGAAAAGTGGGTTTTCTGAAGGTTTGTGAAGATGGAGTTCTCTGTTCTTGCGAATGAACTCTTCATATAAAAATATTGAGCGTTCTGTTTATTGAAAAAGTGCATTTCATCATGATTCAGTTAAAAAACAGCCATCTGAATTCCCCTGTCATGCTATATGTCAAGATGTGGTATTTACTGAACTGATTTCCCCTTTAAAATTAGATCACCATGCACTTTCTACTCTCGCTACACTGAACAGACCCGTTCATTTTAAAATGTATGTTTGTGGAGGGGAAGCACTACGAAAATGGCACATTCCAAATAAGGAACGATGAATCAAAGATTTAAATTAGTCTATTTGACTACTCATACTCTAACCGCAGACGGGCACATTTCACTTAGTGACAACGTAAGTAAGTTCAAAAATAGCAAGGTGCCTTCCTCTTTTTTGAGCATGTGAGTATTAAAGTGTTTGTAATCAAGCAGTGTAAGAGTCTCTTGGAAATTCAATGTAGAACTGAAATTTTTGAGGCGATAGTAAGAGCCTAGTAAGAGCTCTCATGTTTTTGTTGTCGCCACTTCACTATTTCAAACACCACAGAGGCATATGGGAACTAGATCCCAGCTGCTTTGCTACAGTGGTGAATCAGGAAGTGTTGGTGATTAATTTACCTTCACAGACACAGTGTCTAATTTCAGGGAACTTTTTCTGTGTATTGTTTAACATTTCTGAGGCTATGAAAGGTCCTTTAGCCTGAGGAAAAAGTGTTGCCTTGGAATAAATACCACTTTTGTGTGATATTCAAAGTATTTCAAAGACCAAAAACAACAAGCTTCATGACACATTTTAATGAAAATCATAATCATGATAAATGCTGGGGCGCTGTAGCTTTTAAACAACATTTTTTTCCATTGGGAGTAAAGGTTTCATTGGAATATTTGGGGCTCAAGTAAGAATTTATGGTGCCAGAATGCTGAATGTGGAATCGATTAAAAATAAACTACATTGAACATGTTGGTCATAGTGAAAAATCATGTCACCGTGTGCAACAGTGTGGCCAGCTGGTTCGATTTTAATAGTTTTTGGACAACAGTTAAGATCTACAGCACAGAGGACTAAGATTTATCAGGCTCTGGACTATTACAAAGGGAAAACCTGCTTCCAAGATCAGTTCATTGTTGCATTTGGACCTGCTATTTGGACTTTCACTTGCTGTTATCTTTGTTGTTAGTTGACTTTCATTCTCTATATTTAAGTTTTTCTATCTTCCATATAGCAAGAAATTTGCACTACCTATTCGAAATGCCTGCCACGTGGTTGCATGATATGTAGCGGCAGGTTTGTTTGTCTGCTGGGAAATAAATGTGCATCTGCTCTTTGTGAATAATGTATTTGCTGACCTTCAGTGCTGAGTGATGAATCTCTAAAAAAAAAAAAAAATCTTAACGAGGAGAGCAGATGTTAAAAATACTGCAAGATGTTGCCTCAGCAAAAAAAAAAAATCAGATCGGAGGATGGGTTTTGTGATTACACGAACAGCTGAAGCATTAAATGATATGGTTTCTATCTGCAGAACCTACAGTGTTCATGCAGGGTTTTAGTCACCTTAACAACCTTTTGCATTCTTGTGGTCTGTTGGTTACTGTAAATCTGAAGCCCTCCTCCAGGATCCATTGTAGGGTCACTGAAGAGCATAATGAGCACGAAATGATGTGAGTTAGCTGCAAGGTGACACAGTTGGTTCGCACTGTTGCCTCGCAAATAGAAGGTCGCCGGTTCGCGTCCCGGTGGGGGCACGGGGATCTTTCTCCCCGTGCAGCGTGAGTTCTCTCCAGGTTCTCCGGCTTCCTCCCACAAGTCCAAAAACACGTTGAGGTTAATTGGTGATTTGAAATTGTCCGTAGGCGTTACTGTGAGTGTGCTTGGTTGTCTGTCTCTAAGTGTAGCCCTGTGATAGACTGGTGACCTGTCCAGGGTGTCCCCTGCCTTCACCCTAAGTCAGCTGGGATAGACTCCAGCCCTCCCTGCGACCCTCATGAGGATTAAGTGGTGTATAGATAATGGATGGATGATGTGAGCTATATTTTATGGCAATCACCAGATCTCAACCAAACACCTGTGAGAGACTTTAGACTGATATGTTAGACAGCCATCATCAAACACCAAATGAGGAAATATCTTTTGGAAGAACGGTGTTCATCCCTCCAGTAGAGTTCCAGAGACTTGGAGAACCAAACAAGAGAAGCACTTAACTAATTCTGGTGGCACATGTTACTATAACACTTTCCTTAGACACTTAATGTTAGTTTTCCTTTAGTTTGTCATCCACCTATAAACTATGTTAGTCAGCGTTGACTCCAATCATTTCTATTATTGTGAAAAAGACAGTCATTTGATATGTCAGTGCATGGTTGTCTGTCTCTTTGTCCACAACGCATGCCGCCTCTCATCCAGTATCAGCTGCAATAAGCTTCAACCCCCCGTAGCGCAAGTTTAGCAAACAGGTGGGTGTTATGTCAGTAGCAGTGACAGCAATGGAACTGCAATTCTAATGAACTTAACTTTATTTAATTAGTGCTAATCTACAATATTAGTCATTCAGGGCTCTTCACATGTTTATCTCAAACCTCACGATGTTAAACTAGACAAACCCAATGTTTCCACCGGAGCAGGCTCTTGGTGACATTAAGAAATAACCCTTTTAAATGTTCCCCCACAGTGACACATCTTGTTTTTAAATAGTGTCTCTAAAGATCTTTACAACCTGTCACAGACACTTTGATGAAATTGCAAAAGAAAAAAAGAAATCCCCTTCTTCAACCGGTGCTATTGTTTACATGAGAACATTTCCAGACTGAGACCACAATACCCACAAAACCTGTCTCGACTGTTGCCAAAACGATCATGCTGCTTCACCAACTTCCTCCTCTGTCTCTCACTTTCATACAGAATTTAAACACGTCTCAGCTGATGTTTTACAGAGGAATTTCAATTGTACCACTCAGCAGATATGAGGAACTTGGAAACTTTAGGTTGAGCCCTTGAGGAACACGGTTCTGTGTATATCATTATCACTTTAAAATGTTTGAATTGAGATGCATGTGTCAGAGGAGACGGCGAACAGGATCAAATGGGCGCTTTGAGGTTTCATGGTTGGAATGATAGCATGCATGTAGATTTCAGAAAACATCCGTTTGCTTCCTGCTGGACATAACCGAGGA